CTATTGTATTATGATTGGTTGGGTTTCTTTATTTCTGGGTTAGTTTAATTTCTGTTTCGAGTGTAGAAAAAAAAATTACAACTGACCACGGTTTTGCATTTTTGACTTTTCTGAAAAAATTAAAATTATTAAATTAATTATTCTATGTTCAGAAAAAAGTGAAAATCGAACATAGACTTCCCTTTTTTTTATTTTTCAATTTCTAAAAAAAAAAAATTTGAACACTGATTTTCATGTTTCAACTTTCAGAAAAAATGAATAACCCTAATATATTTCGATACAAATGCAAATGCAAAGGATGGAAATTAATGGAGTTGTAACTTGCAGTTTCATGCACTAAGGGATCATCATACTTAAAATTCTGAAAACACATTCCAGTTTTACAGTGGAAATGTGGAATTCATGGATGGTTAGAGCAGTGCGTTCTGTGATTTCTTGCAAAGTACTTGTTCTCATGAGGACACTTGGCTACCAGCTGAGATTGTTTATTAAGGACAGTTTACAGAGTTTCTCAGAAGGGCACAATTGCAGTGTGATGGGTTTCCCTTGTAGGCATTTGCCTTCTTGATTATACGCCATGTCATATGCCTTGTCACTGTCCCTTAGTTCCCAGATGTATTTTGAAAATACTGTGTCATGTGAGTGGTTTCGGTTCCTAAATTTGCAGAATTTCCCACTTGCGATGGAGAGAGATTCCACACACACTGGTTCAACAATTGAGGACTGTATACTTTCGTACAAATCTTACTTTATTCTTGACAATTCAACATTACATGTTCCAATCTACAATTGATCTCAATCCAACTAAATTTTACAAAACTGCTGCATATATTAACCAAGGAAGTCCACATCCAGATGCATAATTGTGGCATGGTCACAATATCAAATGGGGTCTTAATTCTTTGCTCACGTTTAACAATGATTTGTGGGCACTAATTTTAACTATCAACTCACTTTGACTCTGAAGATGACTACCGCACAGATTTTTGAAACATCAGTCACTGTCAAGAACAACAGTCCTATTCAGGACTTCATTCACCCAGGTGATCAAACTCAACCTACTTTTGAATTATGGTACTAATCCTCATGTGCAGTTAAGCTAGTAATACCCGATTGAATACAACATTGATTAATTCTAATTATCTTATCCCACAATATTTCCTATTGTGATGTAAATGTCTCTTTTAGCTGTAGTGAAATAATAGCTTACTTAATCAACTACTGAAAATTTAATGAAATAAGAAAATATAATTATCAGCATTCTAATGTTTCACAACACTAAAAGGAAGTTTGTGGTTGTTGAATCTTGTTTGGAAGTCATTTTCTGTCATGGCCATGTATTTACTTGTAGTTCTGGATGCTTTTGTGCCTGTGGCTTTGTAGATGATGTTATTTTTGAGACAATTTCCATCAAGAGGTCAAAGGTCCTTGTTTCTGCAATTACCTCTTTCAGTTGTTGGTTATTTCACATTCATTCAATATCTTCCGGTTGTGGTTTTTGATTATGTTGGCTATGTTAGTTGTGCAGCTGTAGCTTACTTTAAAGGGACTGGTTCACGATAATGCGCATGCGCGCCGTTTGTCTCTTCAGAATAAATTTGTCGGGTCAACACTAAATTTGAAATCGCCATTACCGGTACAATCATTGAAAATCCTTCGTTTTATTCGGACATCCGTCGCTTTGGCTGGTCTAGTTATACTTCGGTAGTGGTGATTAACCTGTGGTTGTGTCGTTTGACTGGTTATGTTTTAAGAAGATGCAAAAAATAATGTTTTGATCATGGAGGTTCAGAAGAGCATCGTGGCTGTCCGGCAACAGGACATTCTCAAGAGTCTCTAGAGATAGAGAAGCTTAGCCTATCGATCTGGTATGGTTTTAGGAGTAGTGTGTGGCATACGAAAAGAATACACGACACTTGGAAAGTGGTTAAAGGCATGAGTTCGTTCAACTTTGATTTGATTTTTGACTCCGACCTGTAGTTATACCGCAACAGGCCGCGTGATCTTCACCGATCTGGTACACTTGAAATGTTCCTTGCATCTTTGCTTTACGATCGTATATGTTTAAGAATTGATGTTTTTAAAATAAATTATTGCCTGAATATTCTGTTAATAATATAGTTTCTTTATGTGTACTACTTGATAACATTTGTTTTGTGGAACACTGACCCGATGCAACGCGAATGAATTTGTTCATTTGCTGATAAGCAATTGAAATTTATGCTCAGTTAAGCATAATCTTTATACTCATACGTTGTGTGTTTTTGTCACCGGTCAGGCGCTATTTATAGGTATTTCTGGGTTTATATAAGGGGAACTGAGAGAACAGTAATAAGATGTTTGTTTACAAATTTTGTTTGCCGATCGGTGACTGTTTTGTTAGCATGGGTACGACCTCGTAAAATACATGTTGGTAAATGTTTGTTTCAAAGCAGGACAGGGCTGTAAATCTTATTCTTATCAGCTGCAACATATATCTGAGGAGTAGCAAAGAATAAACTTGAATTATGGGGACAAATAAAATCAAAATAAAATCCTTTGTGTCTTTCTAAACGGTGGCTGTCATTCCTTTACCACAGGCTGAATTGGAAGTCACCTCTTGAGAGTTTTTAGGAGGGCTTTGTCTTTCAGGGCTGGAGGATATTTTTTGCTGTTAGACCTTTGAGTTCCTACAGTAAAAGTGCCAAAATTCCTGAGTTTTTTTGCATAAAGCAACACTGCTAAAAAAGTTGTCCATGATTGCTTTTTCATGTAGAGCATCAATTTTTGATGGGATGTTAATGCGGGATGTTAATGAGTATTTATGTATTAAATACATAAATACTCATTATCTTCACCAAGGAATATCTCATGCTTTTTGGGCTCTCCATGTATGAGTGAACTGAGTTTACAGTTGAGGGTGTTAACATCATGTATGCGTGAAAATATTTTCAAGTTTAAAGCCCTGAACCTGCTATATGTGCACAAGTGTCCATGAGTAGATGCAACTGATGGTACAGATAATCATTTTGAATTGATTGCTATCACTCATTATCAAAACATAATAACCTAACAGTCAGTTATTACGTATTAGTTAACGAACATGTTGGAGTTGTTCCTGGTGTTGATGCAGGTGGAATTTGACCATTGGTTGCCTCTCCTTTACTTAGACCACTGCTGCATGGTTTCCTGGGCAGTTGTAGCAATCCACCATCTTGCAGAAAATTATTTTATCTAATCTTTCTGGGGACTAAATAGGCACTTTACCTTCACATTTTGGAAATTAAGTGTTGTTTTTTTGCCCGTCTTCTTGGTGGACAATGAACAGACTGTGACTTTGATGGGTGCAGTGATGTTTGAAGACACAGCATTTCACTGGTCAGCATTTAAAACGTCCCTTGTTACAAATAATATTGTTCTATGCAATTACAAAAGACATTGATAGGGTGAGAAGTATGGCTCTTGTTGCTTTGAAGAATGTTCTTTCGTTACTTAAGGTACCAAAAGATTGAGATATACTGACATTACATGATTGTTTGTTATTTTGCTGATCATTTTGTTTCAAGAAAAAACTTTTAAATCAGGTAGTTGTTAAACTGGGTTCATTGATCTGGGGGCTTTCCCCATCAGTAGGAAAGAAACTTTCGTGTAAAATTTTACATGAGCCTTTACAGAAATACATGTAAATATTAATCTTAGGTGACTACCGGTAATTTATCATGTTACATACAAATTGGGTGTTTCTACGTTAAAACTTAATGAGAACCTTGTGACATCAAAGTTTCTCTACAAGGAAAAGGGCAAAATGCAAGTTTTAAGATCTGGTCAGTGAGTTTAAATTTTGTGCCGTACATTTTGATTTGCCTATAAGTTGTCACAATGTATGGTAGGCCACAAAGCAGCCTTGACACAGAGTCTCAACATAGAAGTTAAATGGTGTCTTTGGCGTCTTGTTACACAAAATTTTGAGGAACTGGATAATGTGACTTTCTTTTATGCACTTCAGTTTTGGTTGAAGATCATTTCCTCTTGTAGGATGAATAGTTCAAAGTAGTTGATCAGTTAATTTCAAATGAAATGGAGCTGAGTCATGACTCCATTGTTTGGGAAATGCTGATGTAAAACATGGCCATTTCAAAGAAAACAAGAATGAAAGCCAGTTGGTAGCCAAACCTGTACCAGGATGACATTATTTTTCACTTCGAGTCCACATAATCTACACCATTCATGTAGTTGATGCATTTAGAGTGTAGTGGTTTTTGTAGTGGTGCATTTAGAGTTTCTTGCGATCTATCCTTTGTTCTTTTCTATTCTTAAATGTTCAAACACATGGTTGGTGTTGCCTAAATAGTCTTATTTAAGGTGGCAAATATGCGAAAATAAGGCAAAAATTGAGCGAAATCTCCGTAGGTGTGCAAAGCCCAGAAAAGTAATAACCTGGATTTTGTTTGGTATCAAATGAATCCTTCGTCCATGTAATTAACTTGAATGTCCAACTCATGGTCACTCCGTGAATTGATAAGGTGCTAGGTTATCAGTAATATACAGTTGTAGGTAGCCATAAGGGCGTACGTGCACATGCACAAAAACTCGGTACTTGTCAATGAAAACTCTGATTGCCATGAAACTTTGCAATGATGCTAAAAAATGTTAAAGCTGTGTTCTGAACTATTAAAAACACAACAATGACTGATGTACTGTCAACCACGGGCATTCACTTAGGATCACAAACTACAAAAATTCAGAATTTTCTTTCAGTGCACCAATCTGGTGTATTTTACTACAGAACACAGCTCAAATCAAATGCAATTTGCACTCAAAATTTCATGAAGATAGAAGCAATACTTTTGGAGTTATTACTGTTTTTGTGACTCGTAGAACTAAAATCCGTGTTTTGAGAAAACAGACTATAAAAACAGTATAAAGGTAAAATGGCCAGAACAGTGGTTCCTTACATCTGTTGTTACATCTAGAATTGTCCTGCTCCATATGTTGTGGCCCCTTTTTGCTTTTTTTTCTTTTCAAACCCCTTTTTCTTGTTTTTTAGAGCTGTTCTCCTTTTTTTTGAAGCCTTCGGTGGTTTTTCGCTCTTCATAGTATAACCTTGTGCTGTCTACCCGTCTGATGCCAAGCTCCTGAAAGATGCCTGGTAGCACCTCGAGTGTTTGTAGCACTCTTGTGACAGAAATTTCACCATCATTGAAAAGGCAGATGGCAAAATGCACTGCAAGCTTCACTATGGCAAGTCCTTTAATGTCCTCCTTAGGACTGAGACCCCAAATGACTCCATGGAGGGACTCGTTCTGGTTTTGGGTCTTTCCTGTTTTGCACCTTGCTAACAGTGCAGGATCACTCAGCCTCTGAAATATGGGCTTTACTGCTTCCACAATTGCAGCATTCAGGACCTTCTCTTTGTCTGGTGTTGCCTAAATAGTCTTATTTAACAGGTCTTTCATAAGTTTGTAATAGAAAAAAATTCAAAGGACACTGTCACTTTCACAGTGCAGATTTGGCCACCTTCCCAGTTTCGAGAAAGCAACTAGTGCCACAGAAGAAGGCAAATGAAAGAAGACCTGTCGATTCAGCTTAACACTGACTTCTACCTAAAGAGAAAAGATGATGAAGCTGTTTCAGAGGGGTTATTGCTAAGAAAATCATAGTTATTGTGTGCTATCAAGTTTAACTCTGGTATAGAGAACAGCAGCAGTTGCCTTCTGCTTACATGCAAACTAGCATGTGAATTGGCAAAAAAGTTTCTTTGGACTGTATGTCCAAGAATAGCCAAGGAAAAGGAAAGATACCCAAGGCAGTGTCTGCTCTTTTAATGATGTGCATACCTGTCAGTAGATTTGTTCGTGTTCTTGGCAATGCACTTCGATTCTTGTAAGTGCTTTGATATTGTTGATTTGTTAAGGTAGAGAATATGGAACTTGACAAGGATCGAATACAATGTCAACATCAGTTTAAAGGTGAATCACCATTTTAAGAGCACAAGGTTTTTTTAAGTGAGGGATCAAGGGAAAGCTAAGAGGGTTCTTCATATACACTACAATCTTAACATCTATCAACCGATATGAACTTCACAATGTGAAGGACAGAGTCATGATCTTTTGTTACATCTTTAAAATGAGGAACAGATGTTCTTTGCAGATTACAGGTTCCTCCTCTGTACTATGAACACCATACATTTGTTCATTTGAGTGCCTGTGGCTAATACTGATGTGGAGACCAGCTTTGTTTATGTTAAATGAATTATTCAGATTGAATTTTTGTCGTGTGAACAACCAGAGTAACTTTTGGAGTAATCGTGAATTCCCACAGCTTGATCAAGGGAAAGGTCTACAAGAATCTGGTTGTTCCCATTGCCAGTTAACAAGAAAGGAGTGGTAAGGGAACATGTTAAGAGCTGAATTAAATACTCATAGAGTTCCTTAGGCTCTGTACGTTAGTAATATTGTGGATCTCTTCGCCATCTGTAGTAAGCTTCACTCTTCATGATCTATTTTTAAGCACTGGGGTCTTCTGCTCGGTGAAGGGTTTGCCAATCATACCACTAATTGAGGAATACACCTCTATGATTTCCTCTGTGCCTTTGTCCCTTGCACGTAGCAGTTGTCTTCAAAATTTCATACAGTCCTTGAATGCTATCTGGAGCTAAACTTGGTAACGATACATAAATATCTGCTTGTTTCCTTTGGTTTAAGATTTTCAAATTTTTCTCTGAAAAGTCTTTAGTTCCAGGTGCATGGAAGTGAACTCAATATAGGTTTTGGATGCTCAAACCACGTGAAACTGGAAATTGTCTATGACAAATCTGAAGCTCGTTGTAAATGGAGCCGGCATCGACTAGCTTAGATTAGGTAGTTGATTATTTACTACCAATATTCAAACCCACAGTTCCTTTTGGTTGTACAATCTCCGTTTGACAATTGCCATTGGCCGTTCTCTCTGACAACCTTCTTTTAAATAGGTGTATAATACAAGTTGAATTTGAAGTCATTTGCTAAGGTTCTCGATCTCTTTTAAATGCATAAAGGAGTGGCCTAACGGGCACAAAGTCAAACTTTTCACAAGGGTCGCACCGAGGACGGAAGCTAGTACGGTCGTTGTAGTGGGTAGATGGTCATGGAAAGTTATCAAGTCGGGATTTCTTGGGCCAATCATGGAGGTGGGACTCCCATATATGGGTTATATAGGTATGTGCAGCTGGGTTGAGGATATCATTTTTGCACCTGTGATCGTGAGATAGGGTGCTTGATTGTACCAGCATAGGGCAGAAATGCACAGCTGGACAAAAAGTAATTTATGAGCTGTTAAGTATTCTATGCATGATGCACTAATGTGTACTTGTATTACTAAAACGATATAAAATTAAACTTTTCTCGACATTCTTATCTGTTTTTCCCATGAATAGGGTGCCGTTTTTTAGATTTGGGTCATAAATAGGGGACCAATCTTTGTATGTTTCATCCTGAAATAGGGTCAGGGTATAAGACCCTGCACAGCAAACACCTGGCCAAAATTACCAAAATTTTTGTGTCACTCTTAAATTCTGCAATTTTTCAAAAAAAAAGGATTGATTTCTCGTTAAATTGAAATTTAGTTTTAACTTCTTGTAATTTAATTTTCTTTGATTTAGAAACAAAACAATACAGTTCAGAGGCTGGATGCGATTTTATCTCAGCTTACCTAGTCTTGCAGCTACACAGGATAATGTTACGGCATTTAAACATAATTTTTGTTTCTTCTTTCACTGGTGTCTCACATAAAAAAAAAACCGGACTTAGTTTCTTCGTCGCAGCCATCTTTAACCATCATTGTCAAATACTCTACCATATTATTCAAACGCATATTGTTCGTAGTCAGTGTCCACAGTCAAAAAAATTCTCTTGATGTTGCACAATTTTCTTTGGTAGAGTAGCGATCGCATTAGATCTTGACGCGACATTGACCTTTCAATGGAAATAGTTTCCAAAGTTTTGCAGATGTCCAGAACCAGCTCAACTTCATCACAATTCCAATACATTCCATTAGGAAACTGTAAATAATGAAGCAAATGAGAGGCAAACTCTACTATACTGTTGCCCACATATCCCCTTTGTCTTGTTTCAAAGAGATCTATATACTCCAGGTTCTCCATGCCTTGTAGAATCTGAATAAGTTAACATTGTCTAATCCAGTACGTATGACAGGAAGTGTCTTTAGAGTTTAGAATTTGCTCTGTCGTGACGCCTCATTTAAACTTTTCCTACATAGCATTGCGTAGCCATCAATGTTGCACTGGAAAAGTTTAAGCAAAATGACATGAGTGGAATTGGACAAGTCGATGTCCAAGTAATGTTCCTGAAAAGACTCAGTAACCATGGAAAAATCAAGATTTTTGAGCAGTGCTGGGTATACCAAAAGTTTCGCCCAGCTCTTGCAAACACCTCTAAAGTTGATCCTTTCAGTGATAGCAATGTACTCAAAGATAGACAATATCATTTCCTCTGGTAGATTCATAAAAAGGAGCATTTCTGCAAAAAGGAACAGACAAGATGATAAAGGACAACAGTGTGCCTGGCGTGCGGTCAATCACACCCTGCCTGGGTGCCAGTTTTCCAGTTTCAGTCAAGTTTTAATGATGTGTCGGCCTGAGGCATCAATCTAGTCTGGCTCGCATTATTTCTTTGTGTCGCACAAAGAATAGCTGTGACGCTATCAATCCCCGCACGTGAGTAAAAAATTTCCCAGGTAGATCAATCGATCACAAGTTCTCAAGTTTTTTTCCGTATTCATTTGATATTCAGGGCCATCTCATCAAATCTAATGATGTCAAACCAGGCCCAATGTCAAACTATGTGGCACAGGCTACGCCACGCCATGCCATGAGTTCCAACTACCTTAGGATCAACTAGGGCTGAAAATAACCTGCCGGATTTATTTGAGTTTCATCCGTAATCTTTCACATTTTCCTCATGATAAAAATTCATGAGATAGTTAAATAAGAAGTGCATTCCAAAGGACTGCGCACATGGACTCGGCAACTTCCACTGATTTTTGCAAGAGTTCTCTATCTCTTGGTAGCTGGTTTTGATTGTCAGGCTTTGAAGGCACTTGTCAATATCATGATACACACACAGCGGTGACTTATGGGGGTTTCAACTGCTGTGGAAGCGATCCCCCGGAATGTACCGTTGTGTGGACAAGGTTACTGGGTGCTGAAAGGGCTCCAAATCTTCTGGTTTTGGCAACTGGGTTGATGTCCCCCAGTATTCTTGGGGGACTATCTCAGGAACATTGGCATCGCACTGAAAAAATATATGGAAAGGAAGCATTAGAAGAAAATGATAAATACAGCCATAGCCAGAACTGTTCCAGGCAAAATGTACATTTTCATGTTACACCTGCCTATCCTCATCATGGAAACCTTGTAGACAACATTTTTTTTGTGGTGTTTTGAAACACGTCATCATTAATAGAGTAATCATCAAAATCAATTATTCTACTCAAAGAATCAGCCTGGTGATTAGAATCCCTAGGGATCCACCTCATTTCACGGGAAATGCCTGAACTCGTGCAAACATGAAAAATAGGAAGTGCTAGAGACTGAAGCTCCTCAACCCTACTACTGTTATGAACGATGCTTACTACACTAGTGTTGTCAGTAAACCAAGCAACTTTTTTACCCTGAAGATCAGGAGCAAAGGCGGAAACTGCCAGGTCTACAGTCCTAAGCTCTCTCCAAGTAGAGCTTTGAGAACCCTCTGTAGAACTCCAATTTTGATGAAAAATCTTATGCTCATTTTCAATAAAAGAACTACAAGCATAATCTGATGCGTCAGAATAGACAAATCTAGCGGGCGGTTGAAAAGGCAACCAGGGGCAACGAAAATTAAGAGAGTTGACGTTAATTCATCACAAGCTTCTTTAGTCAACTCAACCTTAGAGTTCCATGACTGTTTCTGATTTACAACTGTGTACAAAGCAGTGTCATAATTCTGGCTACACTTCCAACACATGGAGTGAGCGAGATGACTTGGCCTACCACAGAGGCTACATCTCTAACTTTGAAAATTTTACTCTTTAGCTTTGAAACCCTTTGCTCGGTAACCGAAATAAATCCTTGATAAGTATCAAAAACAGTGCCAAGCCAGGTAATAACTTGAACAGGCTCCCAAAGGGACTTCCCTTCGTTAATAACAAAGCCGTACCTAGTCAAATCAGCGCGAACAGTCAAACTGTTGATTCTGGCCTTGATAGAATTGCTACCACCCCCTAACCCACCATTGAGAAAAATAGCCATGGGAATTCCTTTGCACCTCCATGAAGTAAGAGCAGGCTTTAATAATTTTGTGAACAAATACGGTGCGGAAGACAACTGGAAAGGTAA